AACAGAGAGAATGGTACTCCCTAGCAACAAGGGATGTACCTTTGGCCACCACGGTGAGGTGGACCACCTTGTCCACGATGATGTTGTACTCGTAGTTTTCGTAGGACAGGATGCGGTTGAAGAAGCAGCGGTAGGTGCCCGAGTCGTTGAAGGTGACGTTCAGCAGGTAGATGGAGGCGTCCTGGATGTCGTTGCTCTGCTTGCTGCCCAGCCAGCTGATGCGGTCCATGAACAGGTCGTGCTCGATGTTGGGCCCGCCCTCTTTGTAGGTGTAGATCTGTGGGGGGGGGGTAAACATGGAGGCCGCTGTTAGCAGGATCCCAGATCCAGGCCAGACCCGACTGGTCAGGTCAGAACCTGTTTCCATCAGGCTCCTCCCACTCTGAACAGTGTCTGATAAACTGGACCATTTTCAGGGTTTCCAGCCTCGTTTCCTGGTTTTAAGCTTTTTTAATGACGTAATTTGAGGCCCAGACTCCAGAGAGTACACTAATTATGCTAATTAGAACAGGATTTAGCATTTATGGAACAAAAAAACTGACCTAAAACATCCACATCCGAAGCCAGTATAGACCAACTGAGCCAAGTATAGACCACCTGAGCCCAGTATAGACCACCACAGCCCAGTATAGACCAGCTGAGCTCAGTATAGACCATCAAACCACAGTATAGACCACGTGAGCCCATTATAGACCACCTGAGCCCAGTATAGACCATCTAACCCCAGTATAGACCATCTGACCCTAGTATAGACCAAGTGAGCCCAGTATAGACCACCTGACCCCAGTATAGACCAAGTGAGCCCAGTATAGACCAAGTGAGCCCAGTATAGACCACCAGAGCCCAGTATAGACCATCTAACCCCAGTACAGACCACCTGAGCCCAGTACAGGCCATCTAAACCCAGTATAGACCACCAGAGCCCAGTATAGACCATCTAACCACAGTATAGACCACCTAACCCCATTATAGACCATCTAACCCCAGTATAGACCATCTGAGCCCAGTATAGACCATCTAACCACATTATAGACCATCTTACTCCAGTACAGACCACCTAACCCCAGTATAAACTATCTAACCCGAGTATAGACCATCATGTGTGAGCTGCAGGACTTGTGCCTGGGTGTGAACTCACGGGAACAAAGTCGGACTCCCCTTTAGGCCTGAAGTACCACTCCACCGTGGCTGATCCGGGCACCTCGCTCCGCCTCTTGCAGGAGATGCAGCCCAGTTTAAAGCCTTTGCCCGCCACGGCCTCCGTGTCCGAGTCCACCTCTGCGCAGGCGGCCTCGCCTAGGCCGGCTGTGGGGGGGGTGGGGGTTAGTACAGAGTGTGGCTTTGGGAGCGGCAAAGCGGCGGTGGGACTCACCCATCACGCTGCAGAGC